ATATTAACTTTAAAATAATTTAGTAATAAAATAATGAAAACAAAAAGGAGAGAGAGAAATATTGTACATGCTTAAGGCGTATATAATAGTATAAAACGTATGTAAAGGTTTAAAAAAAATAAATAATCATCTTTTTATTTTTATTTTTTTTTGCATATAGTTCAGTATTATAATCACATTTAGTTTTGACTATTATTTATTAGTGAACGTTTCGGAGAATCTCTGGCTTCCTCTCCCTCCCTCCATCGGAATATAAAATAATACATTCAATATAATGTAGGTTCTATCATAAAACAGTCATTTTTAACTTTAAAATATAACATTTTTTTGCCTGGTTTATGATAGAACCTATATTATATTAATTATATTATTTTAGATGCTGAAAGGGGAACAGAGAAACCATTATTTACTTTATCATTTATTATTATAGCTAATGTATATAAAATAATTTATATTTAGTCAGACAAAAAAATGTCATATGTTTTAAAGTTAAAAATGCCTAGTTAATGATAGAACCTGTATTATATTAATTGCAGTATTTTACTATCTGAAAGGGGAGAGAAAGAAACCAGGCGTTTTTATCATGTATATATCACTTTATCATGTATATATATTATTATTTTAACTAATGTGTATAAAATAATTTTAATAATAATAAGTTAGACAACCAGCTCGCCCTGTTCTCGATTTTCTCCTCAAATATCAAATGAAGTTCACGTATGTTTTTATATTCCAGCTTAATTAGTTTTGTCCTGATTGAAATAAAGTATTGGTCTCGTTAACAAACAAAATTTGAATTTTTCTAATGGATTTTTTGTTTCATCCATTTTACGAGTGAAAACATATCTATTAAGTATATATCACTACTGTTAGTATAATAGATCGTATATAAAAAAAATTTCAATTTTTATTCTATTTGTGCTCAACGTGACATATTGTTATCTGCAACGATGGAAAATAGGAGAGGGTAATAAAATGTGAAATTATATTAATAATTCATAAAGAAATAATTAGTTTTTATGATCTCTTGTAAAACTCTTAATTTTTACATACTACCTTTTTGCACTAACAGTGTTGATATGCATGTTCAGTACGCACGGGAATTTCCTTTTTAAATCACGAATGATCAAATATGAAATCTGCAAATACGGAACTCTTTCGCATTTTAGTAATCGCTGATGAATAAAACTCGTGAATATCAAACCCGTATGTATTGAGGGATTACTGAATTTTTTAAATCCTCATCTCCCAGAGATTTTATTCTTATATGACAAATTTTAGACCTTGTTTACATATTTTTAGACAATGTAAACTATACTGATCTTACTTGGCAGACGTTTTTGGTTTTAAATGGGTAGTGTACATTAGTATATCACGTTTACATAAATAAATAATTTATTTTATATTCATCAAAGCTATCATATTCCTATATTAAAAAAAAAAAAAAGAACTATACTACTACAACCCATTAAGGGTCTTGTGTTCAGTACTACTTAAGGATAGCATTGTTTCTAGGTTAACGGTTGTTGAAGGAGGTGATTTGACCGAGATCACGCTCAACCTCCAGGGTTTCCCTCTTAATTAATTATTTAATTAAGGGAAACCACCTTATAGAGGGTGTGCCCCAGGAGGTTTCTCCGACCGAAGGTCGCCCCAATGGAACACAATAAATAAATTTTCTGCCATGAGCCGGGATTCGAACTCCTGGGACCTTTAGCATTGAAAGCTCAGTATCCTACCCCTGAGCTACTCCTCTCCCTTATATTCCTATATTATTTTAATTATCCGATATATTTCAAATAGTTAGCATTTAATAGCTGTTATTATTCCAATAATGTCACAGTAGTTCTAGCAGCATATAATGAGTTCTGACCTAAATTTAGTAAAGTTGCGGAAGCTTCTTGCGTATTCGAAACAGAAACTCGAACAGTCTTACATCGTTTAACACTTTTTGTGAATTTTTTTGTCATTCGGGCCACGTCTTTTAAAAAATCATTAATATTTACGATACGGCCAACTATACCGACTACTATGCAGAAAATCTAAACTTTCCATTGAAAACAAGCTACTGATCTACAAGACAATACTGAAACCTATTTGGACTTACGGACTAGAACTGTGGGGATCAGCAAAATTTTCTAACATCAAGCGCATCCAATCCTTCCAGTCTAAAGTCCTTCGAACAATAGTCGATGCTCCTTTCTATGTATCCAACAAAACCCTACATCATGACCTTAACATCCCATTTGTCCTAGACCTTATCCCAGAAAAATTCTCCAAATTTCACCAGAACCTTACTTACCACCCAAATCCTCTTGCACAATCACTATCAAGCATCTCCCATCCCTATAATCCTCCAAGAAGGTTGAAACGGCAGTGGCCTCGCGACCTTTTGTAGATTATATAAATTGGAGTTCTGGCAATGGCCAGATTCTTCACTCAAGACATGTGTGTATGTGGCTAAAGTGCTCTCGACCAATCTCCGCTGGCTTTAGTACCAGTGACGCGGTTGGAAGAGTAACGCAGGGTTCTCCTGGAGTTCCCTCGCCTGATTGTATATAGGTATGCATGTTATTTTTTTTTCCTTAGTTTTAATTTTCTTATTTTTTAGGTTATTTTATTTTATTGTCTATTGTATATAATATTTAATAAGTGTTTTGAGCGTTAAGTAATTTTTGTTTTTACTTGTTACATTTCACATAAAGTTTAATTAGAGCTATCTGTAAATAGTCGACTGATCAAGTATTAGGATGAAACAAAATTGACAGGAATTTCAGTCACGATAATATAATAAATATTCCATAATATAATAACCCAATAAGGGCTAGCCGACGTTTCGATCCAAATATGCGGGGCATCATCAGGCTAAAAATTACAAAGTATAAAATAAAATCAGTAAAATAACAAATATAAAAGTGTAAGAGTAATAAGAGTTCAGAATAACTGTAGCGAATGATGTATGATTATTATGGTATGGATAATAGCTGGGTCGCGATTTCTATCAACACGTTTTAAGATATGTCCATGTGCTTAATCTTTTCGTCCAAATGAGTCCGAGGAGATAAAAAAATAATAAAAAAGCAGGCTGAAATTCCCTAATTTTTTAAATCCTAAATTTGGATTATGCTATTCTATTTAAAATTGATGTCAGATTTATTTTACGCATTTTAAATAACCCTCATGTTTAAATGTTTGTCTGAATATAGAACTAAAATGTTTCGTTTTTTTTTTAATTAAAAAAAAATTATTATATTAAATATATTACTGTATTTGAAAACGACGTCAGTTTTATTTTTACCATCTTAAAGAACCCTAATGTTCATAAGTTAGTGTGAATATAGAAATAAATAAATTTCGTTTTTTTTCTTCCTTTTTTTTAATATTCAAAAATCACTATTATATAAACAAAAATTTACTATATTCGAAATCTGCTTGATGTTTATATTTACCATTTTAAAGAATCGCTATGTTCATAAGTTGTGTGAATCTAGAAATACAATTTTTCGTTTTTTTTTTATTATTTTTTTAATATTAAAAAAACACTTATATATTAAACAATACATGATATATTAACAATAATATATTAAACAATAAAACTGTATTTGAAGTCAACGTCAGATTTGTTTTTATCATTTTGAAGAACCCTTATGTTTAAAATTTAGTGTGAATGTAGAAATATTTTTTTTTTGTTTTTTCCTTTTTTATTAATATTCAAAAACCAGTATTATATTAAAAAATATTACTGCATTTGAAATCTAATTCAGGTTTATTTTTACTTTTTTGAAGAATCCTTATTCTTCATTCATCCCCCTTATGTTCATAAGTTAGTGTGAATATAGAAATAAAAAATTTCCTTTTTTATTTTAATATTTAAAAAAATACTATTATATTAAAAAATCTTACTGTTATTTGAATTTTTCAGATTTTTTTTTACCATTTAGAGAACCCTTCTGTTCATAACACTCATTAACATTAAAAAAAAAAGATTAAGTATAATTGTGACTTTAAAATACATCTGAGATACAGTGCTGGGAACATCTTACAGCATTTATAAGAAACAAACCAGCTGTGAAACAGGGGATATGAAAAAAAAAAAAAAATAATTTTTTGGTTATCCCATAAAATATCTCTAATTTTACGGTTTGGTTGAACCCGTAGAACATAAAAGTCTTGATTACGGTCTAAGCTTGTACCCCAGAATTCATTGCATTGAATGTATTATTGAAGTTAATATTAAAAAAAGTATTAATTATCATATTAATCGGTTTAATAAATGTATTCAATTCCTTGACATAAAAATATTAGAGAAAAAATCCAATCTTTGCGACGAAAATCATTTTACAGGTCTACTGCTTCAAATTCCAAAATTGCATAGTGAAAATAGGTCGTATTATATATTTTTAAAAATATTTTATATAAAAGATTTATTATTATATTTAATCAATCGACGATTAATGTTTCAAGAAAAGAATTCATTAATCTCACAGATTTTATTTCATTAATGAAAAATATTTTTAACATGAAATTTTATAAAGTTTTGGTCTTAAAGCAATTTTCAAATATTCCAAAACGAACAACAGTCATTTACAAAAAAAAAAATAGTACCCTACTCCATAATAGTAATTGTTAAATTAATATTATAAAATATAGTAAATAAATTTTCTTGTTCTTTCAATATCATAATTATTTTGGCTTTTTTCTTCTAATTTTGTTAAAAATAGTTTTATTTATTTTCATTAATTTTCAGCCACAGTTTCAGTAATCTTGCCAAAATAGACTCTTATCCGTTACAGGCTGTAGCAGTGAAATGAAAAATGAATAACCAAAATAAGGTTGTTTATCGTTAAAATATTTATATTTTTTCTTTTAAAAAATATATGCATTAATGACTGCAAGAGTAAGATAAAAGCTACTATAGTCATTACTATAGAGTATCTATAGATATATTAAGCATATTAGTTTACACTTTACATATAGTGAATACGATGTATAGTACGTACTTGACTGCTAACAGAGAGAGAGCATCGACCACACTAACCGGAGCAGTTCCAGCCACTGACTGACATGAGGCACTCTCCCTCCTACCCTTCCAGCCGCTGGAGGCTTATCAGCATTGTTATCATTAGATGTGGCGGGAAACTTAAACCTGTCTTTTCTCAATGATTTATATCTCAATTTATATGTAGATATTTTGTAAGGCTTCTATGCATTTTTTAAATTTAATTTATTTATTTTTTAATTCATAATTTAAAAAGGAATAAATAAATACGTAATTGATTTGGAAGAGCAATGATTCAGCTTTCCAAACGTTGTACGGACGTTGAAATTAGAGAAGTTATAAATTCTGTCGTTAACGGCCAGGAAAAAAAAAATCCCCCTAAAAAATCAAGGCCTGATATTTGCTATTTTTCATTTCTGTGTAGTATTTGAGAGTTTCAAAGGACACTAACAAATCTTTTATTTGTAACAATACTTGTATTTTATTTTTTTTTAAAAGATACTTCATCTGCTTTTCTGGAAGTGCATTTTGTGTTCTTGTAATTTATTTATTACGGGATGCATTATAGCTCATTTAATACAAAATTCAATTTTTTTTTTACAATAAAAACTGATCGATTATTATATAATAATCTAAATCTCCTTACAAAGATAAAAAAAAAAATAACATAAATTTATTTAAAGTATTTTTTTCTCTCGCCTTCTAGACCCGTAGTAATGAACGTCCTATATATATGTGTGTGTGTATTTACACAAAAACTAATAATAATATACTCATGCGTGTAATAGTTTTGATGTAACATCACCGAAAATAACATTTGGTTGAAATCAGTGATCCTCTGACGGCACTAGCGGATTCAGGATTTCATTTTGGGGGGAGGGGCTTCAGCCCGAAAGCTTTTTTACTTTCCTACCTATACTAGGTAAGGAAAGTATTGCGATCGGGTCAAATTTCCAGTATGCGGTTTTCGACGGTTCTATTCGTTTCAGAGCCCCCTGAGTCCGACAAAGACATTTTTAGACATTATTCTGTGTGTCTGTCTGTGCCAAGTTTTTTTCCGCAACTAATGAACCGATTTTGTTGCTTCTTTTTTTTATTTTGTAGGGTACTGATTAGTACCCTAGTACAACTACTGATTAGGTGCTCTCTACGCAATAAATGAAAAACATGTTTTTCTGTACACTGTAGCGCGAAAACCACTCTAACGATTTTGATGAAACTTTTCTATAATGTTCTAATAATTGTCCTTTCAATTTTCGTACATGGACTAAATTCCTGAAAAAAATCAGGGGAAAAAAATGTATAAAGGAAAGAAAAGTGTTTTGGGGCCTAACACGCTTAGTATTTATTCTATGGTAAAATTTATAATAAAACTTTTGAAAGGTAATTAAATTACCAACAAACCAAAAAAAAAAATCATCGTAATTCGACTAGTATTAGCGATAATACAGCGTATTCTATTTTCTACACATGTTTTAATTCATTGAAGGAAGTTAGTCGACAGTTCTACATATCATGGGTGATAAATATTCAGGACGCAGTCTTTTTTAAAAAAATTTATTTTTGCCAACGTTTCAACCCAAACATGTGGGTCATCTTCAGGGCGTGGTTTGAGCACTGAGGGTGTTCAGTACTCAGGTACTTGGTTCAAGGTTCAGGTATTTCAACACCCTCAGTGCTCAAACCACGCCCTGAAGATGACCCACATGTTTGGGTTGAAACGTTGGCAAAAATAAAAAAAAAGAATGCGTCTTGAATATTTATCACTCATGTTTTAATTTATTATTTTCCTACCTACTAGCGGATCCAGGATTTAATTTTGAGGGGAGCTTCAGCTCGAAAGATTTTTTTTTCATTTTTTTATTACAAAGAAAAAGATACTAACTACCTATATGAAATGGTGTTTAAGCTATTCTTGAAGTCCTTCTAAATGTAAATTACACGAACAATAATGCTTATTTTTTTCCATAAAAAGTGGTTACATTTTACTATTTTGGGGGGTAGGAGAGGGGCTTCAGCCAGAAAGCCTCCCCCTCTTACCTCTCCCCTCGACGTAGATCCGGCTGTGATACTAGGTAAGGAAAGTATTGCGATCGGGTCAAATTTCCGATATGCTGTTTTCGACGGTTCTATACGGTTCAGAGCCCTCTTCAATATTTCCTCTACTTTCAACAAAAATTATCGTTTGACAAAATTAGGCTATGGCAAAAAGTTTTTGATCAGCAATATTAGAGGGTATTGAAATTTTCACACTGATCTACCTTAAGCCGGTTTACATTGCTTTAGTTTATCAAATAAATCGTACTCAAATCTTTTCTTTGATCAATTTTCAGGAAAATAAATCTAATTCAATTTTTTTTTTTTTGTTGCTTAATGAACATATGTAAAGTTATAAAAACTTTTCTGAAATAGGTAGGAAAGTCGTGTGAGCGGACACATCAGATTTTTTTAAAAGCTAAAGTGATAAAAGTAATTTGAGTAATAATTTCTGAAAAATAATAATATTTAAGGGAAATTAAATAAAATTTTCAAATATTATTTTTAAGCTTGGCATACCCAAAAATATAAAATGCATCGTATTGTCGCCTCGAACGGTTGAAAGGCCACTTTATCGAACTTATGTTCGGGAAGTGCATTTTCCGTTTGAGATAAAACACATGGTAAGGAAAATGGGGTGTTTATTCTTGGTCGTTTATTTAGGTTTTTCAACCTACGGTTTAATCTGGCGGTGTTCACTTCCCTGAATAACTAGTTATAGAAATAGCCAATGTTTCTACGATTGTTTTTTAATTTAGCAAAAAAAAAATAAATAATACAAAAGAATTGATTTTAATCATGAAATTGACAACTGTATTTAATAAAAATACATCTAGTATGTGTTAAGATAGAAATATAGTGACATGAGTAGACTTGTAGAGAAAAATTTGCATTCTTAGTACTCTAATATAATTCCTACATTAGGAGATCACGAGGCCATCTTCTTCTCAGACTTCTCGGAGGATTCCGAAGAAGAAGCAAGGTTAGGGACGAGGTTTTATTATGGAAAGTTTATTATGAGAGTATAGACATCTATATTAAGTCAAATGGGGGACATATGGAACATTAAATTCGTTGTGGTTTTATTTGTGACAAAGTAAGGAGCATTGAAGATTTTAGGAAGGATTTTTTATTGTAAGGATTGGACACGGGAGGAATTTGATAGTTTAGTGGAGCCCCATAGCTCAATTCAGTAAGTCCAAATAGACCATGTTGATAGTCATGTATATGAGTCTTTTGTAATAAATTGGAATTTTATAGCGTTTGTCTAGTAAGTGTTGGAGTAGTCGGAAGCAGTTTCTTGTCATTACAGACTGGTATGTGGCAAGACCCAGGTGGTGTCCTAGGTATTATCGTATTTGTTCAATATAGATAGATGGGATATTATTGAAGGATCATTAATGTAGGACAGGCATGACTTTATGATGAAGGATAAATTTGATTTTATGACATTTATTTTAATCTCATCCAGCTCATGGTCTCGATTTTCTCCTTCGTTAACTCCGAACAAGCAAAAAGTTGAATTTTTCCTATGATTTTTTGTTCCATCCATTTTACGAGTGAAAACATACCTATTAAGTATATATTACAAGTGTTAGTGCAAAAGTGGTAAAGTATTCAGTTTTTATATTGTGTAGTCTGCAATTGATGCAAGTAGTCTACTACTATGAAAAATAGCAGAGGGCAATAAAATATGAAATTATACTAATAAATCATAAAGAAAAAATTAGTTTTTTATTCTTTTCTGTAAAACACTCAATTTTTACATACTTCATTTGCATTATGTAATCTAACAGTAGCGAGATACACATTCAGTATGCACTGAATTTTTTTTTTTTTTATTACGAATTATCAAATATGCAATCTGCAAATGCGGAACTTTTTCGCATTTTAGTATTTGCTGATAAACAAATACTAGATATCATACTACCCCCATACCAGACTGAAACGACTTGAAACCGCCCGCCGTTTTTCGACTGCAGCACTTACTAGACAAACGCTCTAAGCTCACAATTACAAACGACTCATATATATGACAATAATAAGACCTATTTGGACTTACGGAATTGAGCTTTGGGGCTCCACTAAACCATCGAATTCCTCTCGTATCCAATCCTTACAATCCAAAATCCTTCGTAAAATCCTCAACGCTCCTTACTTTGTCACAAATAAAATCATCCATAAAGACCTTAATGTTCCATATGTTTCCGATTTGGCCCAACCCAGATATCTATCCTTCCATAACAAACTGCAAAACCATCCGAATCCTCTTGTTTCAAACCTTGCTTCCTCCTCGATCCTTCCTCCGAGGCGTCTGAAAAGAAGATGGCCTCGGGACCTTCTAATATAGAACATTAATTTGAGTTCTACCAATGGGTAGTTTCTCTTCATGTTGTACATCTCATGTTACCAATGTCACATTTACTTATTGTATTTTCCATGTAATACAGTTGTAAATCTCAATAAAATAAAATTAAAAAAAAAAAAAAGATATCATACTAAAGATATAATACTAAATAGTAGATATCAAGCCCGTTGAGGAAATCCTGAATTTCCGAAAACGGCTTCTTCCTGAAATTTAATTCTCATAAGACTTGGCAGATGTTTTTTTTTTATTTATTATTATTTTTATTTATTTATTCTTAATTACGTTCATTCATGTTTTCCTATATGTATTTCTTGTATTAGTGGATACTTGCCCTCTAATGCTTATTGCCCTTGACTGTGGCATATTGTGTTAATAATCAATAAATAAAAAAAATAATACTAAAAAAAATTCAAAGTCTGTGATGTGTGATTGAGGAGTTTTGAATACAATTGATGAGTTATTATTAACTGATAGGACACATTTTATCTGATTTTTTAACGGTAAAGCATTTGTACGAAAATAAAATTTTAATTTATATGCTTAATAATACGGTCAGTATTTAATTTAAGACTTTTTTGTAATGGTTATTTTATTGATCGGCTATTGAATTATTAGAAAAAATGTTATAACCGGAGCAATTTTCTATTGAATAATCGTGAAATAACATTAACCGCTGTTTTTCTTAGGTTTAGGCCTATGTCCG